ATATATATATATATATATATATATATATATATATATATATATATATATATATATATATATATATATATATATATATATATATATATATATATATATATATATATAATATATATATCCGCTTACGTTTGGGCGCTCATGATCATGGTCACCCCTCTTAAGTTGGCGTGAACCGAAACATGGGAGGGGAAGATGGATAGAAGATAGATAGGTCAAGACATGGATAATGTCACAATACCGTCGCGTACGTCGTCGAACACTTCTCGACAAATTGTGGCACATAACCAGGGGGGGGGGGGGGTATGTGCCGCTTGTATGCGGGTATGTGCCACAGGTGATTGACACTTGATATCTACCCGAGAACACACATGTGCAATTTCAACGCGCGAGCGTTAAGACATACCCGACATCGGAACCTAAGCATTGTGCGCGGACATGAAGCATTTTACCACAGAGCTACACCAGGTCTTGGATCTATACTTTTCAAATAGACGTTATTCTTCGTGAAATGTCGATAGTGATTGCCGCGCTGCCTGCCTAATTTTACAAACATTACATATGTACACCCGCGGCCACGCCTGTCTATAGAGCACGCGAACAGATGGTTTTTTACTCTGCGGGGCGACACCTTGCGGCAGTACCAGACTCTGGCGTGGTCAGCCTGACAACTAAGGCTTGCATGCTCCGGATACACCACTTCAGAGCCCGAAACTGCCTCAAGGTTTCGGCCCGCAGAGCAAAAACTATGACTGTTCGAGCGCTCTACACTGACGTAGTCGCGGCTGTACTCCTTTGATACAGCCGTCACGTCGGGTTAACGTCAATTGTGGTTAGTTACCAAGCGCTGAAGTTGATTCATGTAGCAGTGTCCAGGACCAGCATCCTCGCGAGCATCAGCGCTTCATATCGGCTTCTGTTGCTAATACGCGTGTTCCAGTTGGCATCGTTGCGCAAGTGCAAGCAACCGGTTATATAAACATCTACAACTCTTCAACTTATGTCTGTGCGTGCAACATTTGTACATATATTTAGCGTCATTTCATGGCGTGTCGCTCAATAAAAAATTGCACCACGGTCGCCTTCCCTCCGCATGTTTCGCATGCATAGCGTTGATTCCCAGATGCGTGGGATATGTTGATTTTTTTTTCATGAGCCTTCCACCTTCCGAGTGTTGTTGCGTGAATAAACCTAATTCTTAAGTGTATGCTTTTTCGTACGTCACTGAAATTCTATGGCCTTGCCTTGCGCGACTGTTGATCCTAAACTCGGCAAGTCTCCACTTGTTAATGATCGCTTAACTCCCCCTTGCATGGCTGTTATTTTTTTTTTTTTTTGCAGTGTTCGGTCTACTGCCACATGATGTACTATAGTGGATGTAGTCCTGCCAAAATCCAGGACGCAAGTTCATTATTTGCATTTCATTATAAGCGCGTCCCAAACTAGTGCACCGAACGCATTTACATTCAGATTTGGCGTTCATTGTGTCGTGTAGCGAGAAGGTGTGCGTTTGCGGTCATCACTTTTAAGTGCACATCAAACACGAAAGCCACATATTGTGGACTAGGAAGTCAACAAATTGGGTCTTTGCTGTACGCAACACCATTACCTGTTCGATCACAACAATTATATGTCTTTAGTTATCGACAGTTTAGGTGGCACATTTTTATGCTAAAGCGCTGCATAATTCAAAGAAAATGAGGGGGGAAGGAGAGGGTTATAGCACGTTTTCTTTATCATTGAAATTCGATCCAATCAGACACACTACATGAACTTATACTTTCATGGACAAATGAAATGAAATTTATTACTATCACAGCCTACCTGCACTGCTAAAAGAACCAGATTTTCTTCAGTTACAAGCACTAAAATACGCTGTCTCAAAAGTTGCTGTACGCAATGCATATAAGCCCATATAACGGGCTTTTATTGAAATCTCCAATCAAATATCGTGTTATTCGAATTTTTTTTTTCAGTAACAACTGAAGTGCATGCATTATATGCAACATTACTAGAAGCACATGATGCACCCACTGCTTTTCCTAGGCTTGCACTCGCCAACTATTGTTGTGCCAGTGCAACCATTCCTCCTTCGAATGGTCCTTCCAGCGTGCGGGATGCATGGTGGCGCAGCAGGGGGGGGGGGGGGGGCACCATGGTCTGGCGGATCACTTATGATTTAGCCCCAGTAGCTGATTAGGTGTGGAGCAATTTCGATGTGACCTCCATCGACTTTGACTATGAGTTGATGATATGTGGCGCATTTGGGAACGTACCTTTGTTGCCAGTTGTTTTGAGAATAAGAAACAGCATAATGTGGCTCGCATACCCTTATGCTGCCCTCTCAACGCGTAAACACTGTGCAAAATCTGCTTCTTTCTTCAAAGTGGTCCTAATCCATAACACCAGAATTTTAATCACAGTATAACCTAGGCGATAGTCATACGCAATTTCGGTGTGATACGAAGTTTTCTGTTGTTCCGGCCACGCCCCATTAGCCTGCAGTGTGCGCTGTTGCCGAAGAGTCGGGAAGACAAAGCAACCACGCACTGGCATGCGTACCACCAGCGCGCTGTAGTGCCAGAGATTGTGTGCGCGAATCTTGGAGGCCTCTGTGTATCTCTGCGTTTAGATTACAGATGACGCTGACGTTACTCTGTCTTTAGGGAGCCTACATGAATGCTCCCTATCTCTCTTTTTCTTCAATGCGCCAGCACGTGCTGGGGTGCTCGAGGCAGGGTCGTATTGTGTTTACACGGGCATTCCACGCAGGCGATATCCTTGCTATCGGACATTCTATGAAAGGTGGACGGGGTCTGAAAAAGGAAGCGGATGGCCTTAGCAAAGGAGCTGTGCCTCAAAACATCAACATGCGTGATTGCTGGGCAGGCACACAGACCAACAAGCTCAACAGATGTTGCTTTCTGCGCGTTGCCATCTTTTCCATGCGCTTCTATGGTGGTGACGCATAAAGATTGCGATAGTGCCTTGTAGATTACAATATTTTTAGGGGCGAAGCTCCTTATGGCGTGGCTTGGGCGTCCCTCGTACGTAACCACCAGTGGCACATACTCGAAATAGGTATAACACTTGACCTCCAAGGTGGTGCCAGTGAGAGATTTCTTCTGTGCGTTGTTTAACAATAAAAAATAGTGCTCAATGTACATGCCAATGGCTGCTAATGGGGAATGAGAGACATGAGCATTCGGCTTTTAGTCAACGCGCACGCTGCGATCCCCATTAGCAGCCATTGGCATGTACATTGAGCACTATCGGACAAGGAAGGGATGCTACATTATACTCGCTGGGTGTAACCTCCTTAGCTTTAGAAAGGTTTAGCGAGCGTTGAGCCGCAGTGCCATGAATACAATGAACTTGTATATACCATGAATGAACTCAAGGTGGTTATGAATGAGAAGTAGATACGAAGCGCAAGCCGTAAGAAAGTAAAAGCCGAATTCTCCTGTCTCTCATTTCTCATTAGCAGCCATTGGCATGTAAATTGAGCCCTATCTGACAGGGAAAGGTTGCTACGTTATACTCGCTGGGCGTAACCTCCTTGGTTTTCGAAAGGTTTAGCGAGCGTTTGGTCGCAGTGCCATGAATACAGTGAACTAGAATATACCATGAACTCGAGGTGGTTAAAGGTGGGAAGTGGACCCAAAGCGCAGGCCGTAAGAAAGTGTGCGTGTGCCACCTCTCGTTTAGTCCTTGGAATGTCCGCTGGATGGCGGTGCTTCTATATGGGGAATATATGATAAAAAGATGCGAGATGGTGGGACTTGGAGTGTTGAATAGATGAACGAACGGACACACAAACAGATGCATGGATGGACGCATGAACGGACGCAGGGGCGGATGCATGAAAGAACGCAGGGACGGGCGCACAAACAGACGCATGGACGGTCACACAGACGGACGCATGGACGGACGAATGCTTCGCCCCACTCTCCATCATTCACTCCGTGGATATGCTGCCATTTTTTTTCAACATCAATCGGTAGACGTGAAAAATATTTTCACTGCAGTTACTAATAGATACCGCCAGAATTATAGATTATACAGCACTTGAAACGAACTGCTGAATGGTCCCTGAACAGACGACGTCTGCCGCATGCACATGCACGTGTCACTCGCTCCTCGTTCGCGTGTTTTGTGCACGCGTGCGTACATAGCCCTGGCAGGAAACGTTCCCAACAAGCGGCGAAGCAAGAGTATCATTGTGTCGTTGAAAAAGGGTTGAAAGTGAAAGGTAGAAAAGTGTCGCTCAAGCTTCTATTCTTATACTTACTGTTCGCTGGCTCCATGTTGCTCTAGATGTGCGTCTTCTGCGAGTGCTGATTGAAAAAGGGTTATTATGCACGATATTCCCGCAACGATGCGTTCGTACGCCCACGCGCTGCGTAAAACGAGGTTAGCCAACGCTTCGGCGAGCAGACGACACTGTGCCGGCGCTCCGGCTTCCCATAATGCTCTGGAGCCGCCGTAAGTGGCGCGCGCTAATTTCTGGAAAGGTCCATTCAGGTACCATTCTAGCCACCCTAATTCAGGCAAGCGAGTTGAGCGTTTGGAGGTAGGCTATAAAATTCATTTGAAAAGAATCCGCGGAACTCTCAAGCCTGCGATTTGGTATGAGTGGTAAAAACGTGCATATGAACGTACCCAGTGCATTTCATTGCGAACCATTGACCTCGAAAAATTGCCGGGGTTGGTCTTTAATGTAACGACACGTTCCAGTTCTCGAAATGTAACTGTAACGAGTAACATACGCATCAATGGAACTTATAACAGGAATTTGTTCCAAGATTCGAAAGAAACGAGATTTCGTCACTGTTTTAGAGGAACGTGTACATCACTGAATTCCTGACATCCGATACCGAAACAAGAAAACACGCTTTGAACAAACATGGCCGCGCATTCACCGTTCTCTGCCCAAATGTAGCGTCCAAAGGTTCGTGCGTAAGAGAAGTGCGTCACAGAGGCGGTGTTTGACGTGCTTCCGGGACGCTGCCGTTTGGTTGTCGGCTCTTGGACCCGTACGGCCGGTGCTGCATGCTGGAAAGCAGCAGGCGTGCACTGCTGGGGCCCTCGTGGGGCGCTCCGGGCCCCCACTAGCCATGGGCATGGCAGTCAAGCTTAAAGGCCCCATCCGGGTGGGATTCTACGACATCGAGCGCACCATAGGCAAGGGGAACTTCGCCGTCGTCAAGTTGGCCAGGCACCGCATCACCAAGACCGAGGTTAGCACCGGCCTCAGTGGTTGTGAAACCTCCGCGCTAATGGGCCTGGAAGCCCTTCCTGCGTCTGCGACCTTTTTTTGGCGATCACCTACAGATACCAATACAAAACCCTAGCTAATGGTTGTGACCAGTGCGCGAGCATCGGCGACCATTCCGCGCGTGCTCCGCGCGATCGTCTCTGGAGCCGCCTTCGACGGCACTGCGATTCATATTATGCCTGGTATTACATCATTTTCAGTCGCCGAGCCTACGTTGGCAAGTTTTGGAGTACCGTTGTAGCTTTAATGATCAATATCGGGACGATAGGGGAACAATTTGTTCGTGTGGAACGCGGCAAAAGCATCGCCAGCTTCTGCGCCTGCACTGTGCTCGCTATAACTCGATCAGAAATTTTCGACTGCTCCCTCTTGTGTCGTTAATTAAACATTGAGTACAGAGGGTACGGTAACTCACTTAAGCAGTGAACTGGCATAGTTTCGCTAGGGTAGTGCACAAAAATCACTGCTGGAGAAAGAGGTGAAAAAAAAAAAAAAAGCATGAGGTAACGCGCAGTGTAGCGTGCTATTTTTTTATCTCGGCCGTATTTTTTATTTTGTCTCTGCAATAGTGAGTTTGCCGTTAGTGGTAATTTGACCTCGTTCTTGCGTTCGACGCTTCTTTTTACGTGGTCTGCGTAATTTGTCTCATCCTCAGGGCCGATTTGACTGCGACTGTTTCTCAACTTTATTATCTTATAATTTCTGAGAAAACAGGTAATCTCGAACCTCACTGGTCTCAAAAGAACGTAGGGGTGGTGCTACATATGTAGAGATTAATTACGAATTTTATGCCTGCAGGTCGCCATCAAGATTATTGACAAGACGCAATTGGACGCAGCCAGCCTAGAAAAGGTGTTCCGAGAGGTGCGCATCATGAAGATGCTCAGCCACCCTCACATCGTGAAGCTGTATCAGGTCAGTTTGATTGACAACTTTTTCTCTTTTTTTTTTTCGATATCTGGGACTGCCCTATGTGGCATATTATCTTGTGATTTCATTCATTCACCTAGTTCCACGATATTCCTTTAGTTTTTTTCATTATTGCGTCTAGCTTTATGACATTAATACACATGTACTCATTCACACTCACGCACCGACGCTATTTCAAAAGGAATGTTTCAGTTTCGCTGCTATCCATTAATTTTTTTTTTTTTTCACTTTCCTTGCGTCCTTTCCAAGAAAAAATTACAGATAGCAGCTGTTCAATTCTGAAATGTCTTACGAGTCCTGGTACACTTTTTCAATGTAGTGGTGTTTATCACTTCTTGTGGCTTACTCAAACTTTGAAATAACTTATGATTTACTATTATGAATAACGTATAATTATGAAGTAACCTTATATAACAGCAATTTTTGCTTGGCTGTGCTTCTCGGCAAAAGCTCTTACATAAGGAAAAGCTGGCAAAAATGTTCACTACAATTGCACAGTGGTGCACAATTTAATTTCTTAATTATTGCCCATTGCTGGTACCAGTCTGCTCACTATCACAGCATACCAATAAGGTAATTGAAAACATCATGATCATATTAAGAGTGCACTAAAAGAAAAAGTGACCGTGTGTAAACTGTCCTTGTATTGCACAACTAAGGGCTCTTCAATAGGCAACCGACAGTGGTTAGGTGGCGCAGCCATCGGCCCAGCCATCAGCGCCACGGTGTCGATTCCGCGAAGCATCGAGGTGGCCAATGAGCCATTTCTACCGTTCATGGCGTGAGTTTATCGTGCTGTTTGAGGCATGTCAGTGGTTTTGCATTGCAGTTTTAAGGCGATTGAAAACATCGATGCCCATTTTCGACCACCGACGCTCGAAAAGGGATGCGCACTGTACGACAACGACCATGTGTATAGTGTTAAAGAAGTGAACACCGACATCGCAGCAAAGTGCTTGTCACAGCAAAGCAAGCATGCTTACGACGCTGAATTCCACTTAAGCGCACAAATACGACCATACACGTTTCTCGATCAGCTGTCACTTGTAGTTTTATTACTCGAAAGCTGTTCAGCAGAAGCTGTCGACCGCCTCTTGTATACAGGAGGAAATATTGTCGGAAGGTAACCAGGATGATTCTGGGTGGTGCTCTTGCGCCGTTGTCAAAATGCCTCGAGCATATCTTGGTATTCTCGTTAGGCTTCCAAGATGAGAGGTCATCGGCACTGAAACATTGAATTGAGAGCTATCAGCTGACACTTAATAACGCGAAAACAAAACATGTGCAAGTGTGCACGAGCGAAACGCAAATATCCGGATACACGACGAGTGATGGAGCAATCAGCTGACAATAACAGGAAAACAAAGCGTGTGCGCGAGAGAAGCGGTATTTTGCGAATACTCCACGTGTTACGCGGTGCACTCCAGCCTTATTTCTGTCGTACTAAGCGCAAGAAAACCTCGGCAATAATGAGCCCATTCCAGCAGTATAGTCATTGTCCTGGTGCACAAAGGAGCGGCAAATCAATGCATGGGACAATGCGCCGTGCGCCAAAGCTCTTACGACGTTAGGTTTAATGAGTGACAACCACTGTGCGTGTTTTAACACAGGCTTGTGAGCAGTTGTAACGTTACCGTGCGTGGCACGAATGCTTCCCGTTATTGTTTTTTCTCAGATGTCATTACGAAAAATTCGCAAGGGCGGCACTTACTTGACACGCCGAACAGCGACGATCCACTTCTGCCGCCGAGTTGGTTCCCAGGGTCTCGATAGGAAGCGATACATTATGCAGTCGACATCCCCTTCTTTGTTGTGGTATCTGCATTTGTTCTTTTTTTTTTTTCACCTCTGACAACGGAGTTGTCAACAGGCTGTGGTAAATACATTGAAAAACGACGCGCTGATATGTTGTTCTGCCTGTTTGCAATGCGCACAACGGTGAAATGCCACGAAGGGCCGCCTCGTGGGTTCTCATCGTCGCTACTAGGCCGCACGACGTGTACAAGCAAACTGTATTGCCGGGTGCCTATGTGGTCAATCGGGCCATTCGGCGGTTCCATAATCTAGGCATACTGCACGGAAGAAACCAAGGACAACGTGCCGATGGGGACAAGCACAGCGGCAGGGACAAGGGCATATGTATCTCTTGTGACACTTGTATGTTTCGTGGTACATAACTCAATCATTGAATTTTGATTGAAGGAATGCAATGTCAGTGTTATAACAGTGCATAGCTTGAAGTTTTACAGCAAAGCTGGTGTGGATGAGATTTGCTGCGTGTCGTAGATAGAAAATTATCATCACAAACTTGCCAGCACTCAATCACTGCCTAAGCACTTGTTAGAGATGGTTAACAGGAGAAGCTAGAAGGCGCACATATGCTCTGCAGTAGTTGTACAGCAGAGTTGTTATGGCCAAGGTTTGTGTGTGTCACACAGTGAAAGAGAGAGAAAAACAGAGACGGAAGATAGGCTAAAAATATGAAAGGCAAAGGAGCATCTACAGAGAGTGAGAAAGAAAGGCAAAGACATTGAAAGAAAGACAAAAAGAAAGCAAGAGATAAATAGGTTGAAAAAGATAGAAAGACACAGAAACAAACAGACATGGAGAGAAACATATAGGAAGACACAGGCTCACGAAAAAAAAAGATGAAGAAGAGAGCAAGCGCAGCCATTAGAGTATAATATCGCAAGGGGTGGGAAAGATACAGGTGAAAAAGTGAAAGCCTAGCCAAATCAAGACCAGTCTGGTTCCCCTCAGCTCTGCTGTGAATCAGTCTTGCATCAATTGATGCAAGCTGCCCTAACTTTTTTTGTACCACATTTCGAAACTCGATACCAAAACCCAAACATCTCCATGGATATGTTTGCGTAAGGTACCAAATCAACGCATCACTTGGGAGTTAAAAAAAAGAAACACCGCCATTGCTGCGGTTTCTAGCGTCACTGCAGTCCTCAGGTCATTGTGTGAATTATTGCAGTGAGAGTTAGCATAAGTGCTTTCAAAAAATGTTGGGAAAGTCCTATGGTTGCAGCATCATCTGTGAAATGTAAGCCGCATATGCTAACACACTGTCTATTTCATCACTGGGGCACTAATTGCAGTTCTGTGCAATCTAAAATTTACAGTAATGCCATTTATTGACGCGAGAGCTCACTTTCCGCGTCAGTGGTTCGCCCCCTCGCTTAAATGCAGCCTGCAGGAACCTCGATTACAAAGACCCACTTGTATCATATCACGAACTCACCTCACATCATAGATTAGAACGTCGAACTTTTCCTCCTCCTCACAGAGATCTGAACAGAGCACAAGCAATCACTTACAGACAATTGCAGACACGTACATACATCACACCAACGACACTAAGCAGGATTAATCCGGACTTTTCCACTGCATGTCCACACTGTGGAAACGAGTATAACAATTTCGACCACATGCTCTGGTTGTGCCCTGCCAACGTGGGTACAGAATTTTCTGACCAGTCCTCCTGGGACTCCGCCCTTCGAAGCACAGAGCTCATCGCCCAGCTCAAGGCTGTCCAGAGGGCCCGGGCCGTCGCCGAGAGACTCTGTCTACCGGTCCCGACCTGGGTGGAGCCGCCGGATTGATGGCGGGGCTTTCGGCACCGCTTTCTTTCCTCTCAGGACCTTAATAAAGTTCATACTCACTCACTTATTGAAAAAATTATAGGTTCAAGCTGGCTAATTCTCAATTAGGGTAATAATTGTAGAACTTCTGGATTAATGACAAAATATAGCACGCATTCATGTCTATCTTGTCCATCATCCAAAACTTTTGTGCTTAATTGTGTTGAAGCCATTTAATAGCTCATTTTCTTGCCTAAAGGTGACACAAGAATAAAATGCCCCCTCAACATGTTTGGCCAATGGTAGCACACCCATGGGGTGGGGTTCAATTATCCTTTACACATGATCATGCATATGTTTGCCCATGTGTTTGTATATATCCACATGCAAAATTTAAAAACTTCGAATGAGGGGAGGGGGAGTAGTTGAACACCCAAACTCCTACCTACCTGGGGCACTCAGTGACGTGACTATTTCAGTAAATGTGGCCCATGTCTCTGCACATTTCATTTTGGATTCTAATGTGGAATTTTCTGAAATTTTGAGGCATTAATGCATGTGTTTTTACCATTGTTTGCATTCATGTTTGCACATGAGTGGTTCGACCACAGGGCTGCTCCTCTTTGGCCACTTCATTTATTTGTTTTGTTTCATTCAGTCGCATGTAAGATGTGCTTCATTGGTGTTGTTCTTTTCTGCCGTCTTTGTGAACTTTGCAACGCTTCCTTTATTTACCCCACGTTTCAACTTGCCCCTATACTAGCTCTTTTGTAGGTTAGCAGTTTTGGAGTGGTTTTCTGGATCCTCGCAAAAAACTTGCTGGTTAATGTCATGAATCTATAGCAGACAAATGTGGCTAATTTCAGGTGATGGAGACCAAAAACATGCTCTATCTGGTATCGGAGTATGCCAGCCAAGGCGAGGTGTTTGGTAAGTTTTTTTAAGGCCTCATACTCGCATAGACTGGCTTTGAGTTCAATATGCAAGTGATTGCATGTTATGTTCCACTCTTTAAAAAACAGTCACAGTTATCACCTTCAGGCATTTAATAATTGGGAGGCAAGAAATCCTGAACGTCACTTACGTTATTGCGAGAAAGAAAGGGAATGTTCTGTGCTTGTGTTTGCATGATGTTGATAATTTTTCATGTAGGGTAGACCAGAGTTGCTGTTGATGTTCTACGCAGAGTTCATCTCGCGGCATGGTCGTATGCCAGAACCGATGGCACGGCGAAAATTTTGGCAGGTTTTGTTGGCAGTTGAGTATTGCCACAGCCAGCACATCGTCCACCGGGATCTTAAGGTGGGTTTCAAATCTAAAACATCAGTGTTTCATATTATTCTGCTATTAGTCTGGAATGCCTGAATGGGAGTTAACTCTTTCTTCATAAGAACGTCTTCTTTGAAGAGTTGGTGCCTGAGTTTGCTGAACATATTAATTCTAGCGCAAAGCTAAAAACATAAAAAATACAAAGGAGTGCCCATCCCTTCTGTCTTTTTCATGTTTTAAGCTTTATGCCAGAATTAGTACAATTGGGAAATTCTTGCTTCCATTTATAAAAAGTTGCTAAAGGTTTTGCAGCTGTGTGGAGTGCAGCCATAAAAAAAGTGCCATACAGGGCCCTGGGGTACGAAAAGAGTATGCTTTAAAATTAAGGAGCACTCACACCTATTTTTTCAGAGTTGAGAAATCACTACAACATGCATTTTTCATGCAAGCAAGGATGGCATTTAACATGCTTGTATATGTGAAAATATCTGTAAATATTTAAACTTGATACTGCTAATGTCTGGACGGGGCACCTTTAACATCATTGAGACTTCATGATATCCAGGAAAATGTGCTGATTTTGTGTAGCAGTAAAGATAAGTACGGGAATATGACTGGTAAAGAAGTAAATGTGTTGTGCTTCTCAATTTCCTTCTGTTCACTAAGGAACGGGGCAAAAGCGTATTGTGACTTCATGCACTACAGTAACCGGCTACTTTTACGAGGGAATAAAGTGATGGAGGTGTTTCAGTCTGCAGTCAGATGGTGGCCAGTTCCAAGTCGAGAAAAGCTGCCTTTCTAGTAAAATTATGATCTGCCAGTGGAAATTAGAACAACTATATTTGGAATTGGTGGTTGTTAATTTGGAAATCGCTCGTCATGTTTGAAAATGTAGCACTCCTTCAAGAGTGATCAGATAGGCACTGCCAGCGTGTTACTCACTGTGTACTCTCACCTGCAAAACTTTTTAAAGGATGTGAGTCACTGAAGCAAAATAAAAAAGAAATAAATGTTGTTGCAGCTAGCACACCGATGCGAGAATCCAGTAATCAAGCGCTCACAACCCTGTGCCATATTTCGCACCTGCATTCCATTAGTATTGGAGCTCAATGGTACGCAGCTTTGGCATTGTTTCTATGTCCCGGAAACTTTTGTACGAGAGCACAAGAAGTGCTACTTGAACCTGCACATATTATTAGCCAAGTGCACCTCATTTGAAAGAAGTAACTCATTGATTTACAGTGTGGCGTTCTTGTGCTTAAAGGTTGCATCTTTTTGCAGGCGGAAAACCTTTTGCTCGACTCCCACATGAATGTCAAGCTAGCCGGTAAGACATGGCAATGACCAAACTTGAGTCTCCTTGCTCTGTTGGAGTATGCTCCAAGCACTAATGTCATATTTCATATGAGCACTGCAGACAACAGGCCAACAGCGGCAATGTTTTACACTGTAAAGAATAGCTTCGGATAGCTTACACATTTTTTAGGCCAGAAAGGAGGGGGGGGAGGGGGGGGGGGGCTGGGATGCGCTGAAAATCTTGAGAGCGGGATATACGGGATGTGTGAGATGTTAAGCTTAATAAATTCAAGTTTTTAAATTCAGACCTATATTCATTTCTGGCATCTGTGATGCATATAACGGTTGCAAGAGCACCTGTGTTCTAGTGCGGCCACTTGGGTGGGCTGTGAAGCGAAGCCGTAGGTGGCATTGTCACTGTTGCCCACTGTGATGAGTACTTTGATGCAGACAAATCGGCAGCCATGCGAAAATGTGCATTTAATATACGAGTAGACGTTTCGCAAAATACTTGCAAAAGTAGAGGTCTTTAATACTGAAAATTGAAGTTATCCCTCCTGAGATTCTCACTACTGTGTAAAGTGTGCAGCTGCAGTGCCGAGCAATAAAAACATGATAATTAACCCCCAAGGCAGGAAGGCGGTGCTTTTTTCGGTGGCAATGAATGCCAGTGATACCGGGCTAGATCGTTACAGTATCTCATGATATGGATAGCCTTGGTTCCACACTATGACGACTGCATTTCCGATGGAGGCGGAAATGTTGTAGGCCCGTGTGCTCAGATTTGGGCGCACGTTAAAGAACCCCAGGTGGTCGAAATTTCCGGAGCCCTCCACTACGGCGTCTCTCATAATCATATGGTGGTTTTGGGACGTTAAACCCCACAAATCGATTGATCGATCCACACTATGACGGCACTTGATCCTGAGAGAAACCCCAGCATTTATCTGTAGGGCAAAAAAGGGCCGGCCACCATGCAGGCCAACTGTCACATTTCAGTCGCCAGGCACTCTACAGTCATGACACTTAAAGGGCCAGTAAACAACCCTGAGGTTCAAAAATTGTTATAAAGAGAAATATATGCACTTTTGCTTTGTGAACATGCTGCCACAAGAATTTTGAGAATGCGTGCTATATTGAGAAAGGTACAGGGGTTAGAACATCAGTTTCAGCTGGTTTCAAATTTTGGCGCGGCCTCGGGATTCTTCTTCCTTACAGGGAGGGGAAGGTGTAACCCACTGTCGTGGCTGGTTTCGACGAATCGACGAGCTCCGTGCTACGTCAAGTCGCCGATCAGCGACATTGTGTCACTGCACATAAAAGGAGGATTGGTCAGGTGTAGGAAAGGAGCGTGGGTATTGTTTTTCAAAATGGAGGCTCTGCCCGGCGTGCGCGCACCGCTGTAATAAGAAAATGTGATCGCCATGGTCTACTCTACGAACTGCCGAGCTTTTCTTGGGGGGTGTAAAAAAAAAAAAGGTGGGAGCCTGTTGACTGGCCCTTCAGTGCATGTCTCTGCGCAGATTTCGGCTTCAGCAACTTCTACTCACCGACGGGCTACCTGACAACGTGGTGTGGCAGCCCACCATACGCAGCTCCCGAGGTCTTTGAGGGGAAACGATACATTGGTCCCGAGGTTGATGTCTGGGTGAGGACTCTTCATTTGTACAATGTTTCTAAGCAAACTTCGAGCTTGTTCATGTTGCGGTGGCTTGAACATTTCTCTGCTTTATTTTTGCTGCCTTAGCTTGACAGGAATGCAGAGTAGATGGTAGTGTTCATGACGTCTTCAAGCTGCTCATTGAGCCAGTTGTTTAATGCTTATGAGTGTGCTATGAGCAATAAAAAGAGCAAGCCAGAATTTTTGACCAGCTATTTGGGATGGGTGTTTTTACGACTGCTGATACAGGCCATCTCTAATATTTTGGCTGTGGTAGCATCGCGGTACTTTTTTTTTGTCTTTGTTGAATGTAGTATTTACGGGTATATTAGTGCGCTGTGCAATGTCGCAATAATATTGCCTTTTTAAATACTATTAAGGAATGAATTTCATACTGTGTTTGTTGAATGCTGGAATAGTAAAAAGTGTGGAGAACTTTGATGCCCAGAATGCATCAGTAATGGTTGCCTTGATCAACTAATTTTGTGTTACTGATTACACATTCAGACACAAGCTTCTGGAGTTATTAAACTTGTGTTGTAGCAACAACATTGCACCGGATAGATCGTCCACAAAACAACTGCGTACAGTTGACTCTCGTTAATTCAAACTGGAAATTTCCAGAGCCCTCCACTACGGCGTCTCTATAATCATATAGTGGTTTTGGGACGCTACACCCCTCATATCAATCATTAATTCAAACTGGAAGGGACCTATGATTTTTGTTTGAATTATCAGAAGTTGTCACATAGATGCTATGACTCTGGGTGAGAGGACACCACACATTATGAATAGGCAATGATTTTATCACATTTAAAAATTTTTCAAGTGTTTTTAAACCCTAACTGCATGCCATGAACCGAAAGCAGAGGAGTAAGGTCCGTAAGTTTATTGGCCATTTACTGCTGATCATACCTTTTAAAGAAATCACCAATTGCCAACTGCTTCGTTGATATAGGTATGTGGCTTCAGCACAAAGCTCTCTATACTAGTTGCGAAGTGTAACGATTTACCATGCGTGTGCCTTGTTTCAAACATTTGTTTACAAGCAAAGCCTTCTTCCTTGAAGGTCTGAGGTGCTTATTTTTCATTTTTAGACTGTTACAATTATATAAGCATGTAAATTTTTAAATAGTATTAGGAAAGCAGCAGATATTTTCTGGTATGGAACTGCAAGAAGTATGAATTAACGAAATGATGGAGTTTGAATTAAGAGGCTTTTAAATACATTGAAAGAATAGAAGGCCAACCAAAAAATTTAATTTTGTTTGAATTAACTGAAAGTGTAAATTATCAGAGTTTGAATTATCAAGAGTTTACTGTACTTTTTCTTCAAAATTTGACATTTGTCTTTGTTTTATTAGCTTTGCAATTCACCTTGACTCATGTTCTAATGCCCGTTTTGACACACTATGTTATGTCCTTAACTTTATATTATTAGGGTTGGCACCTTTCCCAGAAAAAAAAAAAAAAGAAAAACGGCGGGGGGTCACGAAGTTGAGGTTGTGTGGAAAATAAACAAAGTCCATGTTAAATCTTCAACATTTATTGTGCCTGCCTTCAACATCAACATAATATGTATACATACATACAAACACAGCCTTGAGCGAATCAATTAGTCTCTGGTGGCAAGCGCACAAATAGCATGAGTCTTACAACGTTTGCACTCAAAACAAGCGTTAAATTATTACATATGCTGAACAAAATATTTGCCGCCGAAGTTTTCAGCCCAACTAAAAAAATTGGGCAGTGAAATCCGTAGACACAACCTTCATTTCAGACAGAAACTTGCAGAAAATGATGAATATAATGCGTTTTTCACAAACCGCTGCGCCTTGAACTAGCGTGCCTTCAACTTCCTCGAACGGCCATGCCTGGAACAGGTGAGCCAACAATGCCATTCCGTCTGCTCAGCCCCCACTACAATTCCTAAAACCACTACGAGCGGCACCTTCAGCAAACAATGTTCCCAGGTGGGATAAAGCCCCTAAAGAAGGCATAACATCTCAGCGTCTTTGTGGAAGAGAGTGAGTAGGATATAAAGGAGAGGTAGAGAAAGGAAGGTAACGAACACGAACACCTGCAGCTTTCATCCATGGTGCTCGCGCTGGCGTACAGCCTTCACACACAAACAAAAATACGGCCAACTGTTCAAAAACGTGTGTAATAAAGTCTATTTATCGGAATAGTCGTGTCTTCCAAGTAGAATTTCAATGTTTTCATCATTTTTTCTGAGCTGTTCAGTGCTACTTTAAAAAGTATACAATGCATGTATACCTACACATGCAATAATGTGCAGTACACTCACAGCGCATAAAAAGAAATAGAGAAATCCTATGTGCTCGCCTTCTCCTATCCGCGGAACTTGAATATGTGCTTGGAATTCGACTTAGCCGCAGATGAGCTTCTCGTTTTCTTTCACCATCTTTATAAATTCTTCACAGCTGTACATCAAATTATACCGCACACAAAGTTCCGCTTTGACCATTGGGACGCTTAGCTGGTTTCTTTCATCCTTCCATAAGTTTCCCATCACACTGAAGACGCGTTTCACAAGTGCATTGCTGTAGGGAATGCAGTAGACATGCCCCATTCGGTTCTGCAAGAAAAGTCACTTTACCTCTTCTAAACACTTCAGCCACATTGCTAAACACTTCAGCCACATTGAGCTTGATTTCTCGTCACATTTTACAAGTCCAGGCAGAGCATCCTTCAAAAGACAAAGCTCTGAGTAGAGTTCATCCCCTTCCTCTTGAAAGTCAATGCCAAAGAGGTTGCCCGCATTTATTACCATCAATAAAGTGGGTGCACCTTTGCGCAGATACAATTCGGCGAGAAACGGGGAGTTTTCGAAGTCAAACCACTTTCCGAAGTATGCAAGGGCCCTGTCATAGGCATTCACAAAGTCCAGCTTTGCAGCTTGTCCACCAGGAAGGATTTCAAGTCCCAGATTAGCCTTGACACCAAACAACATATCCCTTCGATTAATCAGCTGTTTCCTGAGCTCAATCATTACAGCATAAAGTTCTGTCGGCTCAAGGTGACTGTTTTTACTGTTCATTATGTTTAGAACAGTGTTGTAAATGTGCCCAAGTGTACGTTTGGAGGGCAAGCTGTTTGTCAGCTTTTTCTACCAGGCTCCCTCATCTTCTTGATGAAAAAAAAAGTACTTTTTATTTCTTCTTACTAATATTATATATTATTGTTATCATTGTTATTTACTTTTCTGTTATCTGTGGTGGCTGAGTAGCATTGGTCTTCCTACTGATTATGAATCTTCAGGAACCGTTCATTCACAGGCATTTTGGCAGCATCTTAGTAAGGAAGAAATGCACGTGCTCATTGTTCTAAATGTAGATTTCAAAATTGCCCTTGGTTGCAATTTATCCAGAGCACTCTAATACAATTAACATAGTACTACTTTTTTTTTGTGCTAAAGCCTGTCAACCTGTGAAATCATTCGAGTAAGTGCTGCAGCAGAAAAAGCACATAAAAGATGCAGATAAGAGGACATTTGTGTCTAATTGCTTGTGATGTTGTGCAGAGCCTGGGTGTGGTGTTGTACGTGCTGGTGTGCGGGGCACTCCCCTTCGATGGTAGCAGTCTGCAGGTGCTGCGCAGTCGCGTGCTCTCCGGGCGCTTCCGCATACCTTTCTTTATGTCTACCGGTGAGTGATACTTTTGCAATTGGCAAACATCATTAAAGGGTCACTAAAGTTGAACAATCAGTTGTTTTAGAATGATAAAGTGCACTCTGACAACTGTAGTATCATAAGTTTCGCTGTCATAAGTTCATTATTAGCAAAGGAAATCAAGGTTGAAGTTTCATTTTTTGATTTCGCGCTGTAATTTCTGCGCATGACGTTAAAAATTCCAGAATGTATTTTTCGTATTTTCGCGACATTGGCTCTATGAAATCTTCTGAGACTTCGTAGGCTAAGTCTATGGCACCCACAGATTACAATGTGCTTCAATTCAGATTTGATGACGTCTCAGTTTTTGGTGCGAGAATCTCAAGGCGGCCGCCTTCACCCGCACGTTTGTTTCGTGCGTTTTCTTGCTTACCAAGTGCCGTGTTGCAGTAAGATTGGTGTTTTTGGGGTTGTGAAATAGTGCTTTACCAATACGCCAAAAAGCGTTCTGCTTTTCAGTGTCCCTTCAACCTGCCTCACTTTACGCCAGGTAAAGCGTATGCAGTAGACTCTCAGTAAATGGGATTATATGAAACAACTGCCTGTGATATGATTGGTTTCATACTTGTATTTTGAACCCCTCTTCATCTCTCAGTAAACAGAACCATTGTTAAACAAAACATATTTTCCAGGCCCCTTCAGGTTCCATTTAAAGAGAGTCCACTGTATTATGGCTAGGCAAAATTCAAAATCATGTGACCTATGTGTATTAAAACTAACACCTATGTGTATTAAAACTAACACGTATGTCAACAAGCTTTAATTACCTACCACTGGTCCATTAAAAATGAAAAAGGCATCTGTGGGCAAAAAAATGCGGGCCATAAAGATTGGGCAGATCTCACTACTCACCAACAGTCCATTCAGTATGCAGAAGGGAATTCATGGGTGGCAAGCATTAATTAATATTTTATCAGAAAAGTTATCGGATCATATCGACGGTCGTTTTTGGCACTGGGGTTGTCTGCGATCATTGGTGTATCTTGTAAAGTAAGAAGGAATGTGTAATGAGAGAAAACATCTAGGATAGAACAGGGATCAAATCTGGGCCCTCTCGGTGGCAGCTTAGCATTCTCCTACAAAGCCATTCTTGTGCTTGAAACTCCTTTGTAAAATGACTATATGGGCTCCACGTCAGAAAGGAAGGACCTTAACATGTGTAATGTGGCATAGTAGAAGAATAAAACAACAACCAGGTGTCAGAGAATGGAAATTCTGTAAGGAGTGGATGCTTTCAACCTATTACACATGGCTCAGCCTTATCACAGCCACCGTGTCAACAAAGTGCACCTAATGCTTTCCAAATGTGTAGTAGGTACCTCCGACATTTTCCATCAGTGATGTGGACTATTTTGAATTCCTGGTGCAGAATGTGAGCATCTAATCCGCAAGATGCTGGTGCTGGACCCAACTCGACGGATGACAGTAGAGCAGGTGAAGCGACACCGGTGGCTACAGCCAGCAGGCATGCACACCCCAGCCACACCTGCAGCTCCGTCCGATCGTGAGGCTGCTCGTCGAGGTATCCTCGATGATGGGGTCCTTCGCCTCATGCAGAGTCTTGGTATCGATCCAGCCCGCACTCAACAGGTTAGGTGGCTGCATTGTGTGCAGAAACATCTTGCTCCTGTGTATTCCTTACTCACTCACTTTATATATCCTTCTTCTTTCACTGTTTTGACGGCAGCAATCGTAAGCCTTGAAATGATACAATCACAATCATTCATGCATTTATTAATTGCAGGGTGTGGCAAGGCAACATACTTGTTCACTTGTGACGCTGTCAACATGCTGCCTTATGAGGCTTGACATTGGTGCATGGCATTCATTAATAGTATTAGCTTGCACACCTAAGCATGCGAGTTGTGATGTTTCAGCTGACATTGTTTTATATTTTCTTGATATTATCTGACAATGTGTTATTCTTCATCACGTACAATTATTATTAGTACAGTTGGGAGGAAAGATAATTGTAACTTATGATGATGGCATAGCATAGGAAGCGATGCTCACTTGATTCGCTCATTTCAGAATGCATTTTCTGGCAATAGTGTTCATACAGAGTGGGCATGTGTGTATGCAGTCGCTAGTGCAGGAGCGTTTTGACCACCACTCGGCCATCTACTTCTTGCTCTTGGAGAGGGCACGACGGCTTGCAGGCGCTGCCACAGCTGCCGCCGACGCTAGCCGACGACCCAGCACGGTGGCTGAGCAGACGCTACGCCACGAGCCTGCGGCTGCCGTGTTGCACATGCAGGCAGCACTGGCTGCTCACCCGACCATCGACAGCGTGCGCGGGCATGCCTTCTGCCAGACGACGGACGGCAACCTCGCTACGTGCCGTGTACCAGCCACGGCACTGCTCAAGGGCTGGCACGCCGCAGCACCACCAGCCACAGGCTCCATAGACGAAGGTGTTGAAGAAGACCTAGACCCACCGGGCACCCCACCTCGACCTGAGCACAGGGACAGCCCACCACTATGCAGCCTTACTCAGATGTTAAGCCTATCCGATGCCCCTCCAGGCGCACCTCCCTTGCCAGCTTGCCTCGAACCGTGTTGTGGCACTGAAGGGCCACATCGATCAGCGGGCGACTTCCGCGAAGGCCGCCGTGCCTCGGACGGCCTGGTGACACTGCCGGCAGGTCCCGTGGCATCCGTCGCCGCCACCACGACGCTAATGGGCAGTGGACACCGTGACGAGCTCTTCGGCAGTGACCGACGGCTGCCACCACCCCCTCCTGAGGTGCTTCCACTGACGCTCTGGAGCCAGAGCAAGCCCTTGCAACGGCGGCCTCGTTGGGCACGGCCTTGGCGGCCCACACCACCCCGACCACCACTGGCTGCCTGCGGTGGTGGTTCGCTGGGCGATGTGCCGTGCCCGTGGGCGGGCCGTGCCTGGGAGGCAAGTGGCCGCGCTGCAAACCCATCTAGTCATCTGTATGGTGCAGGCGACCATGCCACTGCGAGCCACCATGCATCCTGGGACCCGAGCCTGGAGCAGATGGACACGCTGTGAACTATGGCCACATGTACACATGTTCTCTTCAGAAGAGCCAGCGAGGAACTCTTTTATTCGATGTGACACTTGGTTTTATTAGTGGTTCACACTCTACTGTAGACTTTGCGTGAGTATATTCAGGCACAGTTTACACACAACTAGCTGGAGCAGCTTTCTCTTGAGTACTAGTATTTTCAATAACGTTATGTTGTGTTGCGTGCATATGCGGGAACTCTTCTGTTGTGAGTTTTATCTTCTGTACGGGCATGAAGAGCCCCTGCTGTCATGATATGGATCTCTTCTGTCCTTGCATGCCTCAGTTGCAAATATCTCGCAGCTTCCACTTTTCTGAATCATTGACTACCTACGAAACTGCCCTTGGTTTCTTTGCCACTGCCAAGGAGTACCCCATGCATCAGCACGTTATGTCTGGCCATAGCTTGCAGACTGCCTGATATGCGTGTGCTGTCCAGCCCTGCTTCCACTATGCAAATGTTGAGTGCTGGTAACCTGAGTGCTGCCACAGCAGTGCAGGTCACTTTCCACAGCTGTCAAAACTACCAAATTGCGCTTGTTTCCACCCACTTGTAATTTGTTTGCATGAGTTTTGAAGGAGTACACCAGGATTGTGCAACGGCCAGAAGTGTCCTTTAGCCTAAGCGGAGATTAATTTTCCAGACATTGTGGTCGCTCATGCATTTTGCTACTCTTTTCTTGTGTTTCTGGCTGCGGATGGTCTGTCGGTCTTTAAGCATTTCACGGCCAATAGGGTGCACATGTAGTGATGATATCTGTTGTCAGTGCCACCTTGTGATATGCGGCATACTACTGGTAGTGGTTGTGGTGGCATATCTTAGCACCAAGATAGCCTAGTTGTGGTTGCCAACACTGTAATTTTAGGAGAATGAGCTTCAGAACAAGAGGCTCAACTTGTACTGTTTTGTTACCTTTGTTAGGCCTTTTCCGGAAAACTTTTGTATATGGCCAGCAGCTTTTATCTAACACTGTTCTACCCACCTAGCCATGTCTTTAACTAGCGTTTTATCATGTGACGCAATTGCCTAACATACCAGGAAACATTGTGCGAAAAGCTTCATGGTCACTAGGATGAAAAAAAATCTGTGTTTTGAGGTATATTTTAGCATTTATGGTTGACAGCTTGGATTTGAGTGCTACTGAGCATAAATGAGTTCACTCATTTTAGTGACTGGGGTAAAGCTTAATTTGCAACAGCATCAGTAGCAGCAGTTTGCTTAAAACGCTGAGCACAAAGTCACAAAACTTAAAGGGTTGTTAGCTTAGCTGCGTAATTAAAACTGAGTAACGATGCAAACAAAGTGTATTCCTATTTGAATCTCCATACACTGAGTAATTCATCATTGGGTTGTTTGGCACTAGCTGATGGATGATTCAGCACGAAAGCAGGTAAGTCTAAAGAAGGCCACCACATGACGCTCTAGTCATCTCTTGTGCATGGATCAGTGCACGAGGGTCATGGTCATGTGGTTAGAGTGCATCATGATGTGCAGCCATTTTGGTGTGCCCAGGTGTTGTGTAATTCAGGGGAAGTAGGTTCATTGTCAGATCGGCAGAGGTGCACATTGCGCGGCAGCAAGGTTAATAGTTTTGAAACATTCCGCTGCACTTTACTTGCAAGGCGTGCTGTTTTGTTGAAACCGTAGACAAGTTGCTCGACCTTGTCACTTTGCAGGCCATGTTTGCTTGAAGCTAGCTTGCAAAGCTGTCACACAGCATTATTGCTGTGTAACCTGCTCCCCCAGACAAGCCATGGCTCACTGTATCTGCTGTTGGTTTGCAGGTTTAGCATTCAGTGGCACAGCGCTAAGTAAATGTGTGCCTGTTTGCCAGCATACTCAAGCTAATTGCCAGTTTTGACTCTTGCTGGCATTATGAAGCCACATGTAAGAGAATATGTGCTGGCAGAAACTGTCATGTATCTGCCTTCATTTTGTTCAACTGGCACTGTTTGTGTTGTTTTCGTCATGTAAATTTGTGTGATTGTTTATTTAGGCAGTGAATAGTGCATAGGAAACTTTTCAGTATAAGCAAATGTCTGTGTATGTAAGCTTTCATATGTAACTGGGTTAAACACGGTTAATAAGGTACAGAATGTCTGCACTCAGGGGCGTAATGTTACAGAACAGGATGGAAGCAAGCGGGCCTCTCACAGTCTTCGAATGGATAGCAATTTTTCTATGTAGTGTCAAGGCACTGTAATACAATTAGTATGTGTGGTGCCTGGTAGGCACACTAACAGTGACTACAGATCCTCCTTTTGTCTAAACCAAATTTGTTATATTTACAATGCCTTATTATATCTCACAATCCATCGCCCCTGAGAGTGGATATAATTCTAATTTAGCAGGACCAGTATGTGTTACTGCTTCTCTACGCTAGTCATGACATCGCTGAATACCGAATAAGCAACAGTGAAATTATTTGTGCTTTTAAACTTTAAATCACTTTTAGGCACTAGGTATACCTGTTTGCGTTTTGACGTCTTACCGCTAACTGTGCCGCTGCAAATGTGGATTGCAAGACTCGCTCGAGACACTAGATGCATGCTAGCACTGGAGTGCCGCAATGATTTGTTCCTTTAAATTACGTACATTGCCATCATGCTCCAATTCTACACTGACTATATTGCAGGTGCATCAAGTTGCATTCTCATAATTAGTGTGCAGAAGTTTGTGTACCAGTCTCCGATGTTGCTCCAATTCACCATAGACATGCTGCAGAGAAGTGCATAGAAAGTTTTCAATTCATAGAGTTAGTTCACAAGTTGCGATTCGACCTTTAATATACCACTTTGGTGTGTGAAGTAACAATTTTTTCACTGGTCATACCGACCAGTAGTGGTACAAAGTTTGAGACTAAAACACTGAATGCTAATGGAGCTTTACTTTTTTTCAACGTGTGAAATTTATGGCAGCTTGGGTTGTTTACTGTGGCTGTGGGGGATCAGTGTGCATACACCTTGGTCCCAATGCTGCATCTTGCAAATCAGATATGTGTTGTGTTGTCAGCAGCATTTATTGTTTATTTGCTACTCGTTAGTGAACTTCAATTCAAAAACAAATAAAAGGCAGCATAGTGATGCAGAACTGTGTAGCTTTTGCAACTTAGCTTCTGTGCCTCCAAAGCCCTTGCTTGTTCATGCTCCCCATGAAGTTGCAACATAGAAAAATGCTGCTGTTTTGCCTGTGCTGGCTATTCGTGGAGTAGGGCAGAGCACAATTTAATGCTTACTTTATACAGCACTTTACTCGCAAGGGGTTTCTGTCACAGCTTTGGAGGCAAGTCTCAGTGAAACTTGAATGGAGGTGCAGTGTTTGTTAGTTCAGTCCTTGCATACATTTTTCATGAAGCAGCGCCCCATAGCAATGGTGCTGTCAGCTTGATATATCAAAGTGGCACCAAAGACATAGTAGAGTCGAGTTTGGTATACAATAGGCAGTGTCTCGTTGCCCACACACATTTTTCCCATGTGTGCTTTTCACTAGGAATTTAGAGATAGTCTCAAGTGTGCGTGTGCACGTATGCTGATCTGCTCTGGTTGTACAAAGACTCCGGAAAGGCTCACTGTGTGTTGTGCCTGTTGGGTACAGACACGTGCATTGCCTTATCCTTGTTTCGGTGATGCACCGAGATCCTTGAGTGTCCATAACTGTGGTGGCAGCCACGATGAGACTTTCGGAAGCTCAGTCCAACCAGAAGCTGCCGCAGTCGTACATGTGTGGATCTGGCATGTGTGCCTGCCGAACTGTCCGCTCGCTCTGTGCGAAGCCTTTGGGTACAAAGCACATTTCACTGTGCGTGGTCACTGGCACCAAGCCGACTTGCTTGTCCAAGAATGGGAGTTTGAAACGTGTGCCGTATGTGTTGCCAGGAATTGAATAAAACATGCTCGACAGGCTATTGTGTATGCACTGCTTCTTCCTTCGCGTATATTGGATGCAAAGCTTTTGTGCTGTACAGAAATCTATAAATGACCTTGTTAAACGCTCTTGCCATAGCGACGTTAGTGCAGATAATGTGCGAATGCCCAAGTAACCGAGTGGCAAAATAGTGGTGTTTATGACCTCGCGGATAGTGCTCGATTTGTGGGAACTCTTTGACCAAACACTTTCGTCAGAATTCTGCAGAGCATTTTGACATGCCATACCATTGCTGTGCAAAGGACTTTATCTGCATCTGGAACAAGTATTTCTTGGAGGGATCACATTGAGCTGTGGGCTTTTAAAACAGCCAGATATATGATATCCAGACATCATGCGTCCTGAAATATTTTTCGGTCATGGGGCACTGTGTCTGCTGCTTGCCATTGCCACTGCTCAATCTGGTCAGTTATACATATCTGCCTGCTTTCGGCTTGAAGCAATTGCCCCCCCCCCCTCTCTCTCTCTCTCTCTCTCTCTCTCTCTCTCTCTATATATATATATATATATATATATATATATATATATATATATATATATATATATATATATATATATATATATATATATATATATATATATATATATATATACACACACACGCACACACACAAATTATCATCGGATAACAATCTGCATGCATAATTTTCATCTACTCCGACCATCTGAGGTCGAAATGAATGCTCGTATTGCTGCAGCCATAAAGTACGCTAGTATAAGTTACGCGAGTTTTTTGTTGGACAAGTGCCTTGTGGAACCAAGTCGTCAAAGCCTGCCCAGACAACACAGAGCCATCCTTTGGATTCCCCTAGGGTGCGCTGCTTAGGATGTGTGGGAACTTTTGAGGATGTCCCAAATATTTCTCGGAAACCTTCATGAAGGCTCCAAAATAAGACAAAAAACGAGATTCCCAGGACATCCTGTACTTAAGGCATCTTGGAATCACAATGGGATTATATTGGGATGTTGCTAATTCCACTGTATCCAGAAATTACTTGTACATGCAGCATGTGAAGAATGCATGCTAATTAGTAGAAAAAACTGTCTTTTTGAAAGTCTTGCATTTCTTTACATGTTTTTAATACCCCTCAATGTACTCTTCCAGTGATGCAATGCACTACTGCTTTTCCAAGTGACTGTAGGCTTTTAACACGTTAATTGGTTCTGTTGCCTTCCTCTTTGCTTGTTATTTTCTAAATCTTGAAAACACTGCTCCATTATGTGTTTTCACCTAGTTATATAATATCTGTATATTTATGAAGGGCTGCACAAGTTCTATATATATGTACAGATGCGTTAAAAATGATCGCTGAAAATGTACACTAATTCATGAAGCAATGTGCATATATATATATGTGAGAATATTAGTAAGATTAATTGAAACCACGTGGAATGATATATACCACGTCCATTAAACATCCCATAAGAGGACATGAATAGGTGGATGTATGCAGATCTCACGCATGCATCCACCCATTCACGTCCTCTTCCGGGATATTTAATGGCCATCCGTTTGCTGAAGTCTACAGGACATCCATACGACTTTAAAGATTGTGGGACTTAGGTACTTGTTTGGGGCATCCTTAGGACTTTTTGTGTTGTCTGGGTGTGGTTTCTTCGTTCCACTTCCAATGAAATCTGTTCGATCGTCTAGTTGTCTGTCTAAGTTTGGATTATTAGAGACTGCCTTTGCGAAAAAGCATTCGATAATAGCAAGGCCGTAAGGTACTGACTTCACTGAGGAAGAAAAGAGGGCACTGTAGGTTCTAAATTAACAAGTCTTCAGAGTTCAGCGCTGTTATAAGAAATCTCGCCTTACTTTCACACTTTGATTATGGGATTCTGTGGCGCTGGGGATGTGGTTTGCACACGCATTCGCAACAGCGGTGTTTTTATCAGTTTGTATCGCGTCGACTTTTCGGTTTTCCGCGTAGAAACTGGAAACTGCATATGCGTGGCAAACGAACAACACAATTTTCGCGCCATGGTTCCCGATCAATGTCGTTCGTCCCTCAAAGCCCATGCTGGTAGCACCACAACTTATTTTTTATTATAGAAGTTTTGTAAAAAAAATGTTTTTGTGCGCAAAAGCAATATAGTTTTATTTTTACGCTGACAAATTGACGGCAACAAGCACTTGAGGCATACCAAACATGGCCTTCGTGCTTGCATTGCGTGGGTAGCTTGGAGCGCACAAATCGCGAAGGCAATGCGAAAACCACAGTGAAAACAAAAAAATGTTAGTTGCTTAATCTACTTCCGGTAGGTAGAGAACCCTCCATATCAAAGGTCCATTTGTTTCGCAACTGCCGCCGCAACTCAGCTGGCCGTCACGTGTTCATGTTTGTGCGGGAATTAAATGCCGATCGCTGCACTCCGCGGCTCACTACTGTTGCGTTGCACCGGCGCTGGCGTGCGTTTCCTGGCCGCAATGGCGAGCCAGTCGACACACCACGTTTTCGTGTACGGAACCCTGAAGACCGGCGAGCCCAACAATCACGTTATGAAGGACCCTGAGAACGGCAAGGCCACTTTGATCGGGAACGCCGTGACTGTTAAGAAGTGGCCGCTAGTCATTGCGTCGTCGTACAATATACCCTATCTGCTGCGCTGCGAAGGAAAAGGGCATGTAAGTTACCGTGATTATAGTTCGCGATCGTCATTTTCGCTTTGCTTTCCGTTGTCTCACATGGGGCGTAACCAGAATTTTATTCGAAGGGAGGAGGCATATATCGGCCATATAACTACATGCTCGACAGGAATCGAATCTTTCGATCGTGATTGGCTGCTAATTGCAACTTGCGTAAATGTGCGGCAGCAACCGCAATCGAGCAGCAATCCCGATCGAAAGCGCCTCGCGGGATTGCCCAATGTGATTCTCACAGAGACGCAATATTTTGTTTTATTTTCTGTTCCGACACTTGCCAATCTATCATTGCCGAATAAAGCCCCGGGGGGGTTTTGAAGTGCGGAAAAACTGAAACTGCTTCGACGTTTGGTTAGCGTTAACTACATAATAGCTATTTAAGATTCATTAACTACTTTTAAAACTCATTAACTACGAAGCATGTTTGTTTCCTCACAATCGGCACAGCTAGATTGAAGTTGGTCAAATGATTTATGAATTTTCTCTATTCTGATTATATTTTTACGGGTCAATATCACACACGATGCCGTGTGTTGACGATGATGCCGCTCACAAAAACATTTTTTTATCATTATTGTTTTAACGCATGTTCATAGACTTAACAGCCCCAAAAAACTAAATGAGCCCACACAGTTGTTTTAAGGTAAACAGGCCTCGACTGCACCCACTATAGCACAAATAAAACGTAGGCCACAGCAGAACACTACAATAAGGTACCGCATTAACTCAAAAATAGGTAAAACACAAATAAAGACTACCCTCGTATGTTGACTGCACTAGTACATAAGAAGAGTAATTAATTTGGGTATAGAGTAAGAAAATACATAGTGCACTTTTATTTACTGTAAGCTCAACCATTCAATATCATCACCAGTTCATTTAATAAGGTTTATCCAGTTCTTAGTTAATTAGTGCCATTCTTTAGTTTTTATTTTTTTGGGTGTATATGTTCAGCAAACACAATTGAGCTAGCTTGTGTATTGTGCGCGAGCAGCTAGTGCATAGGAGAAGTCATGTGCAACAATTGCTTGATTATACAAAGGAACTGTGTTAAGTTGGTCTATTTACTAGTTTGGTTCACGAATACAGGTTCAGATTATTTGTTGTATATTACAGATCCTTAGAAAAGGCCTTTTTCTGTAGTGGAGGTAGGTCAGGTTGGTGATGATAGGTCAGTAGCTCACATCGGGAAACACTTAACACACACACACACACATAATTTAAAGAATATTTAAATAAATTTAAGTGGCAAATATAACTCTGCAACCTCAGTTACATTCTCAAGTTGAGATTGGTTTATGTCAGCCTATTACTGTCAACTTTGGCAATTCTAAAAGCAATAGACCTTGAGAGTTACTTCAGTGCAGTTCCTTTTACACAGGAGATAAAAGTACACAAGGCTTGTGATATATATACCTAGAACACAGCTGAAATATGCAACTCAAAAAACAATTCCATCGGCCCAGTTGGTATGAATCCATCTTGGTAGGAAGCACAGCCACTATTACACAGAACACACAACACAAGTGCTTTACTTCAACTAAATGTTTATTGCAAACATCAGAGTTTATAAAGGGGGTGAAAAAGAGAAAAATAATAATAAAAGGCAGACCAACAAAAAGCACACGTGCCAGTCCTGTACATTACTTATCCGTTATTATCTATCACCCCATACAAAAGAAAAAGTTCTCTCTGCGTGAGCGAGATAGAGGGCGGACTAACACACTCAAAATCATAGTAGAAGCTGCGGAAATGACACGTGATGATTTTGAGTGTGTTAGTGCACCCTCTATCTCGCTCACTCGGAAAGAACTTTTTTTAGATGGGGTGATAGATAATAACGGATAAGTAATGTACGGGACTGGCACATGTGCTTTTTGTTGGTGTGAATTTTATTATTTTTCTCTTTTTCACCTCCTTTATAAACTCTTGACATTTGCAATAAACATTTAGTTGAAGTTAAGCGCTTGTGTTGTGTCTTGTGTGTAATAGTGGCTGCGCTTCCTACTAAGATGAAATATGCAATCCTTAATTAATTACATGTGTGACCACACTCTGTTACTGTTATGAGTAATAGCAGTAGAAAAACTACAATGCCAATATTTCTCTTTTGTAGCAGTCTGTACAGACAGATATCAAGGGCTACAGTTTACTTGGGCCTGTCTGATCACTGTGGTCCACTGAGGCAATTGAAGGTTAAACGCATGTGCATGGATAAATGTATATTTTTGCCAATACCATGAATTTGACACTCTCATTCACAATTACACCTGCAGACTGTTTTGGCCTATAAAGTAGTGCAGATTTTTTTTACACATTTATAGTAGCTAAAGTTATGTTTCTCTTGTGATTTATTAGATGAGAAGCACAGTTGAAGAGCTCACAGTGGTGTCACCATTGTTAGCCTAATATGCACTACAGAAATGCTTATAACGTAGTTCTTTATGTACACCTGCCATTATTAACTACATTCTCCTCTGTTTGGTTCTTGTTCTATTATTATAATATACTATTAATTTACATGAACTGTGCAGTATTTAAGCAGACCTGGTCAACCTCTCTCAATGATGATTATGTGATCACACATTTGACAATTAATCCACACTGCCCTCATTTTAATGTTAAAACAACTTTTTTTTTACTTGTCTGCTCTCACTATACTGTCAATGTACATTGCCGAAAACGTGCCACAGAACTCAACAGTTTTGTTCTGTTTCCTTACTAGAGTATATCGGGGGAGCTCTACAGCGTCGACGACAAGATGCTGTCAATGTTGGATGACTTTGAGTCTCATCCCAAGTACTACCTTCGCACTGAAGAAGATATCGAACTTACAAGCAAATCAAATGACGAAAAGACCAAGAAAAGACTCAGGGCGTGGATTTACTTCTTGAAGGACTACCGAGAAGAGCTGTTGCAAAGGCCTTACATAGCCAACTATTCGTCCAAGGGAGACCACGGACTTGAATATGTGCCCAGGTACTTAAGAAAGGCTCAAGATCCCCAAAACTTACACTGGCAAGAAGTTCTTCGTAACGAAAAAGTTACATGCAATAAGAAGGTGGGTTAACGGTATGGCTCATGCCACACATAGGTTAAAGTGTTCCATTGGGGCTCTCAGAGATAGATTTATGAAGTTGTAGTATGCATTGAGTAGAGACACATATTATTTAAATTGCAGAAGGTCTGCAACATCGCTTGTGTGCAATAAAAATTAAAAATTATGCCGACAACTGTAAAAGTCTGCACTTTTTTTTTAAATGCTAAAGTTGGTATAAAAAGTACCTAGCATCAATTACATCATTCTTATGCCATGGTATAGAAATTGTAGAAATTGTGTAGCATTAGACAAGTATGATGACATTAGAGATTTTAAGTGTGTGGCTGCCACATTCATTGCTAATATTTTAGAAATCCTGCAACACCTTTCCAGCATGGTCGTAAAACTGCTCATTGATAGTCGAGGCTCCTAAGAACATATCTGAACATTACAATGCCGTACACGGCCTGGAATTTACACTTAATTCTCAAAGTCCTCTAAACATTGCTCCCGCTTCTTTCAATAAATAATGCCATAAACCTGAAGTCGACGGGCTGATATGAACATCGCGAGCTGCACAGTTGCTGCATATACTGCAGCATGCCTCTATTTTGCCCGCATGCATGTTTGCCATCGCAATGAAAGTGAGCCGCACTTTCGAAGAAGAAGAAAGAAAAGCTCAAGGTTGTGAGGTGCTTTTACAAAGGGAAGCATCTTCTTGCCATTCCCCCTTCCATGTGTAGCTTTAGTGAGCTTGCAGGTGCAGCGACTCCAGTTGTATTTAGTGGATTATAAGAAAATTTTGTGGCTGACTCATGAGGCAATTAACTCCTTTAATGAATCCATTGAAGGATTACGTGGAAGAGTATTTGTAAAGCTCTTTTAAGAGAGTGATTGTATTATGATGTCATAAATAGTCAGCATCCTCGATATCCAAAACTCTTTCGTAGATATAGAAAAACACTGCAAATTAAACACCATATAACATGAACCTGCCATAGTTTGCATAATATTAATTAAGAGGTGCATTTATCACATGGACATCAGCATAGAACAGGTTGAATATCTGCATTTAATCTGTTGAGCTAAGGGGACATTACATGAAATTAGTTTAATATTCCACATTGCTAGTTTTTTAAGTTTATAGCCCCCTATTTAACACTGGTGCAGAAAAAAAAATTTGTGTAGTTAGCATGCTGGTCTTTCACTAAAGAGTGCTTACGAGATAGATATTATTATTAACTAGTTTCTTAGCTTCTAAGAAGAGTATTTCAATTATTACATGAACAAAAGCAATAAAGCAGGTGCAGTAATAAATTAGCTTGGCAATTTTGTTATTTTGGCTTTGCAATTGTCTATTAATTTGTGTGTTTACTTCTACAGTAATGAGAATATTTAAAATTATTAGGGCTACCATAATGCTCGTTTTGCTATGGTTCAGGCACTCATTCAATGAAAAAAAAAGTGCCTTCGTTAAATCTTGCTTTAGTCTTTTATTGAAATAGTCCTTCTATTAACACACTAAATATTAGTGCAATGAGCCAATAACCAATGTCAGAATGATTGTTTTGAAATGCACAAATTAATGCATTTGTTATCACAAGAAACCGACCGGTCACACTGTTGTTTTTTGATGCTCACTATGATGAAACAGTAAATGAGCTCAGAGCCGATGGAGCGGTTGGTTTCTTTTCTTCTTATTCCGGAGCATAACTTAAAAGTATAGCATGCTGTTTGCTTATTCACATTGTTCTATGTACAACACATATCAACAGTGACTCGGATTCGCACTTCATGCCAATCTGAGTTTTCCTTTCAAGCATATGTCCTCTCTGTACCAGTTCATAGGTGCTGTACAATCTAAGACAGTGAACTAATATCACGTAGCCCGATTCATTGCTCTGTTAACTTGGATGAAGCATATGATGCTACTCGGCCTATTCATGTGAAATACTTGCAAATAATAATGTTACTTTAATTAACATGTCTAGTTGGCTTAATGAATGCATTTACGAATCCCATTTTTATTGTTACCCTTTAAGAGCGTTGTCTAATTGTGAAACTGTGGCCGAGTCAAAGTGACGTCTGCTTAGTGAAAATCCTAAGCCTGTTACCACTTCAGAGATTTCCAAATCGTTGAAGAGGTGTATTGAAATTACAGTGATCCTCCAATATCACTTAACGCATGCTGAATTGTTTTGTTAAAACTTTCAGTGAAGAAACGAGCTGCACAGACGACATTTACTGACCATCCACCACAGGGGAAGAATGTTGTGCCTGCCCAGTGAAATCATTTGGTCTGTGAAAAAGTTATATTTTTATTGTTGTCGCGTGCATGCACCTGTTTAAAGTTGTTGCACATTTAAGAACAAAGTATATTTTGCAATTTTGAACTGCGGTGAGTGAATTTCATTGTTGCACGCATTGGTAACAAAGTAGATTAAACACAAAAAGGAATGCCGCTGCTGACTAGGGGCCTTCAAATATTCTAGGTTTAAAATATGGGTCAAATTGTATTTGCTCTTCAGTTTGATAATTTACTATTTGAAGTTGCCTACAGTACATGTTTCGTTTGCATGCTGCTGCAAAACAGCTGTTGCTATCTGCAGAAACCAACATATTTGCAAGCAGTGACTCCTCCAAATTGTTGTTGCAGGGGCACTATGGTTGTTTCAGAGACAAAGCAGTTCTTTACTGAACAGCGAGAGCATATGACATCTATACGTACTAACTTTTCAATTATTAAATAAACATGCCCTCCCTTAGGCATCCTAAGCAGTTTTTTTGAAATGGGAAAATGTTACATTTCGAGAATGCAATGGTGCCTACCTTTGAGACAAAATGTCAAATGTTTGCTTCTATTCAAGGAGCAGAGCATTACGCAAAACAAACATGTCTTTTTACTTTTACACTGCGTAGTATTTATTTACAATGCCGTTTTATGGTTTCCATAACTTGAGAAGGCCATCTTCACTGTATGTAGCAATGAGGTTCTGGTGAGGATGATGACAGACACCAATGACATCTTTTTCGTGAACCTGAAAGTAAAAACAAGAAATTAAAAACGCTGAAGCAGCAACTAAGCAGAAATGAGGTAATGGGCAATGACAACAGAGATAGCCTAGCTTCTTTGCAGTCATTCATTAACATTTTGTTGCAGGGAATTGTACATATTTGTCCCACATGTATGCTACAATCTAAATGACTTGCTCACAGTTGTGCACAGTTTATCTTAAGGTCATTAATGAGCAAAATGCTTTTTCACGTATTATTGAAGTACAATTTCAAAATCTGAAAAATACGACACTAGGTAAGCCAAAAAGCTTGCTATAAGTGGAGATGGCACCTTGAGATTCCCGCGCTAAACACAATGATGTCATAGATTTTGAAGGCGTCTACTGGGTACTACGTAAACTTCTAATCAATAAAAATGAAGTACAGGGCTGGTCAGAAGTTTACCGGCCACTATTCCATGTATTTATATGGCAGCGTGGCCTAGAAACTTTTGACCCCCCACCCCCTGTACATTGTCATCTGTGGATGCCATAGACCTAGCATACGAAGTTTTAGAAAATTTCATTGAGCCAATGTCACGAAAATATGAAAATGCATTTTCAAAATGATGACGTCGCACGTGAAAATTTTGGTGCGAAAGTTAAAAATAAAACTTCAGCCTTAATTTTCTCCACTAATAATGAATCTAGGATAGTGAAACATATGGCATTAAAGTTCTCAGATCTAAACCAAGTCATTGTTTCTTTTTAGTGCCCCCTTAAGCAATAACATGACAATGTGCTTGCCTTTAGAGCTACTTATCCTTCTTTCTATAGCCAGTATTGCTGTATGAAGATAAGAGCTATTTTATGCTGTGGGGTTGACAAGAAATCTTATATTAAATCAAAATGCCACACCTCCTGTCTGGCTGTAGAAGCTCAAGCTGACAGTGAACACCTGCACAACTTGCTGAAGCAATGACTTATTGAAACAATGCATGCAATGTGTGTACACTTCCAAACTTCTCATATGACGCGCTGAAATCCTGTTCAGTTCGCCAAATTCTGCCAAACACACACTTGAGGCAAGTCTGGTGTCTGACCAGGCGGTCACTTCACACTATACAAAGCTAGAGCTACTGTTTGCTGGTTGGGTTCAATGCTCCGTGACATACAATAATGATCTGAAGTGAAAGGAAACAAGATGACCCACACATAGAAGACATGACCTCTAACACATTTATGCAATAAGTGTGTTTGTATATGAACCTTGTATTTGTCTCTTATGTGTCCACCCCGCACCTTTCACCTTGAAACATCGAAACAAATGTATCTAGTCTTCCATCCTAAGCGCTGATGAGGCATGACACACTTCAGTCAGCTCATGCAGTATTCTAGTTCACTGTAATGCACCACTTTCCAACATCGAATGACGGCACCTGTAAAAACTAGAGCTGCGTGAATATCAAAATTTCGGGTGCGAAGTGAACTTGAATATTAGAGTTTGAATAAAATATTTTTTAGAATGATTTTAAGTGAAACTGCAGAGAATACCCAAGAATATTTTCAGGAAACAGGAACATTAAAGTGTTTCTTATGGCTAATTTGGTGAAGCGCTGTAGGGGCACTGCTAAATGATGTTCCCTAGTTGTCATGTAAACAATGAATATTGCAGGAGATGAATTGTGTCTCTCACATGATTTTGTACAACCAAAGCAGTGGCCATGACACTTTAAGGGGCCCTGCAACACTTTTTGAGCATGGTCAGAAAACACTGCCGATCGGTAGTATAGGCTCCCGCAAACTCGCGAGACAAATATTATTATAGCACAGCACGCGGCCTCGAATTCACAATAAATTATCAAAGTCAGCTAAAAAGTGCTTTCTATTCTCTCGACAAATCACATTATATGCCCAAAAATCACACGTCAACGACCCATCTATCAGCCATTGGCCGATTTGAACATGGTGTGCTCGCTCGTTACAGAGATCGCCGGGGGAGGTCACTACATGTCTACGCGCGCGCGATCACACTGAAAAAGCAGCGCATTTGAAGAAAAAAAAGAAAAAAAAGTGCTCAAGGTTGCGAAGCGCGCTTGACGTTTTTCTGTGGCCCTGCCATCTCTCTCTGCTCAACTTCCAGCGCTTTCGTCGGCACGAGAAAAGAAAGACTATAATTGCAGCTTGTGACAAATCTTTGTAACTCCCCTCGTACTGCACAGATCCTTAAAATTTTTGCGGCGTTCAATTTGTGAGGTAATAAGCTCTTCCAGTGAATTCATTTCATGGTTACTTGAAAAAGTGTTTCAGGGCCCTTTCAACACGTGAGGAGAAGACACTCTTTCCTTAACTCCCCCTCTTCCTCCTTCGACTTCTGTGGAGGCCCAACTGATGAGCTGAAGTCAAAAGTTCTTCATCTACTACCTACATAGATTTCACTCTCCTACTTCACGGCTGCGATTGGTTGCTGCATGTGGGGGGAGGTCACATGTTTTTCACACACCATTTTTGCAAACGCGAAAGGGAAATGTGCTTTTGCAAATTTGACAAAGCAATGCTTCTGCACTAAAATGTACTGAAAGGCATGACCATTTCTTCTGGACCGTGACTCATGGATATAGTGGCACGGCACTGTTCGCTGCATGAACATGAAACAGTTCTGCTAGCATAGTCACGCTGGCGAAGTGATGTGCAGTGTTGGCACGAGCCAAAATAACTCAATATTCTGCGGTATTGGGGTGATACAAATTTTACATCGCAGGCTGAAAGCACGTTTTGATCAAAGTACGAAACCAAAACACATCAGCAGCATCAGCAACACCGGACCGCCAGTTATTGCAGATGTAGCGACATCGCCATGCCAAATGGTGACAAAGCACATTTAAAAGGTAGTCCACAAATGCTAATTTTTTCATGCTTAACTAGAGTCTCTTTGCTTCAAATTTGTTCCCAGTAAAATGTAAATCGAAAGTCCTTATCAAAGGACACTTATTTCGCATGCTGAAGATAACTATGTCACATCTATTTTGCTTGCCCGAAACCTGTGTCCGTGAGTGATGCTAGCAAAAAAATCTTCAGCTGCATGTTGACCAGTAAAGGTTTCTACAGACCAAAAATGAAGTATCCACCTCTCGATAAAAAAAACTTTCAGGCATTCTTGAGCAGTTCTGTGTAGACAGAGCGTTTCACGGTAACATGTCTTTAACCCTACCAAAGTTCATCACGTCGATGTATGTCCTTCGTAAACGACTCCGAAATGGTCAATGGCATACATACAGTGCAGTCCACTTATAACGATACCACATATAACGATATATCGGTTATAACGATGGGTCGACTTAACAGTCTCATTTTATGCATTGGGGCTATGGGGAAAAAAACCATATATAACGATATGTTATCCACCGCATATCGGATACAACGATGAAAAGTTTGCCGTGGACGGCATGTTTCATTCAGAATAATCGTAACATTTAGATTGATAAGTTCTTCTGAAACGAACTATGCCGAGACAAGACGAAAAGTTAGCGTAGGCGAGTACGTATCTGCCGCCACTGCAGGACAGCGCCGGCAGCGCGTCCCGGCCGTTCAAAAAGCCGAGGAGAGCATCGCGAGTTGGCGCGACGCGCTACAGATGGCGCCAGCTGTGTCACGTTTTGCGCCTCGCCGCGCGTCGACCGCGGAGAGGCTGAGAGAATTTTAAAAAAAAATGCGAAAAGCAAAGCGCCGCGCTCCGCGGCTCCCCGCCTTCTACAACGGCAAGCTACTCGTAGATTGCCGAACGGAACCGGGAAAGAGAGAGAAAATAAAAAAATCGAAAAGCAAAGCGGCGCGGCGGCATGGGGGCGGGGCCTCGTTGGCATTCCGGCTGTGTACCTCTGGCTGTGCTTTCTTCCTCCCACTGCTCCCACCCCGCCGTCGGTCAGTCTCTCTTCCTCAGCGAACCCGTGATGCGTTCTTCGGAGTAGGAAATAAAGTCTTGTTTTTGACATCCTACTATCTACAATATTTATTAATTGGTGAAAATAGCAAAATGAAGCCTGGAGCTACAAAAGGTACGTCCGGCGACGATTTTTTGGCGGCAGTCCAGATATAACGATCACCGGTTATAACGATCATATTTTTAGGTTTTCTCAATATCGTTATAAGTGGACTGCACTGTATACGTCATCGCTTGTATGCTCAGAAACTACATAATTTTTGATAATTTTTTTGTTCAGCATATCGGCCACTTTGCGGGGATACAAGGGAACTTTTTCTTGTGCTGATGTCTCTCCAGTTTTTTTCTTATGCTTTACTACAGCACCATTCTGGCTATTGCTTACACATCCAGCCATGTTTAGGCATGTGGAAGCATTTTTCAGGCGATTTCTGCTTTTTGCGCCCACAATAACTGATGGGCAAAGGGTGACCGTTTTACTATTCTCTCGTTTATTGCTTCCTGAAATAACATTACGCCCGTTTCCATGCAGGCGCTGACTGAAACAAACAATGCCACTGGTG